ACAATATTTTTTCCTACGATTTTTTGGTACACATTGTACTGTATTTTTCAATATTTTGAAAATTTTTATTACCAATAATTGAAGCCCAAAAAGGGGGATTTTAATTTTTTTTTAAGGCAACATATGTTTTTAATTACATACATTTGTAGATAAAAAATAAAAAAATATTTTAGCGTTTGAATTTTCATTTATTTGTTCATTTGTTATGACTTTATAAAGATTTGATTTTTTGGCTGTATTTATTAATATTTTCAATCGTTACTACAAAGACGAGTAGTTTTATTACACGCATAAAAATAATTTGGTAAAGTGGGTTTGTAAAACCAACCTGTGTACCTGTGTTGGAATAGGTAATCTGTAGATAAGAACCGTTTGTCTATCATTATTTCAAAGTCTTTTCATACTAGTGACTTTTTTTTGTTAAAGTGCTATCGCCAAATGAACAATGCGAACATAAATATGAACTCTATGTGCTACCGGTTTTGGAAAACCGAAGAAACATGATCATTTTAAGAGAAAATGTAGTATCTTAAAAAAGTCATAGCTAATGAACAAATAAATGAAAATTGAAAATTCAAACGCTAAAATATATTATTATTTTTTGTCTACAAATTTATGTAATTAAAGGAGTATACCAAAGCTACAATATTAAAATTATTTCAAAGTTTTTGTTTTTCAATATTTTGAAGTCAAAATGGATTCATATTTTGTTTTCTGTGACTTGTTAAGTTAACTCGGAAAATCTGTTAGAAAACATTTGTTCAATCCGGATTTCTGTGCGCACTGGGACCTTGTATCCCATTTTTTTTTTTTTGCTACTACTAATTTTTCACAAAAAATATAACGGTATAAATAGCGATACTTTTTCTACTGCGTTAGCAATAAAAAAAAGGTTTAAAAAGTTCAACAACAATACTTCTTGGAAAAAAATCGAAAAAAGCGTTCGACGACTTCTATCTTACGGTTATATGAAAATCCCTATTAACTTTTTTCGGTTTTAAATATATTTTAAGTGAAATCGTACTTTTTTTTTTTAATCCCTCTGAGCTTGGTAAAGTTAAAATTGGTTTTTCTTCTTTTCTACAAACACTCTTGTACCTAGTTGTACAGCTGTGTACATAAATTATACGACCGTCTGGAGTGAAAATTAAAATCGATTAAGGTTATTTATTTGATGCAGAAGAAATTTGCATTTTGCATTTATTAATTTTTTGGTAACTTGGCGGTACGGCTACTGTTGCAGGCTATTCAGTTTGGAAGCGTGAGACGTACAAAGTAATAAATATATATATGTATGTGGTTGAGGCATGATAAGAGGGGAGATCAGACGAGAGAGGAGTGAAATACTGAATGTATATAGAATACTTTTTCTCTAATCCTGTTGCTCCATCCTTATAAATGTCAACTTCAAGAGTAATGTATAATTGACTTTGAACCCAGTCAAGACGTTTGTTCAAAACACGCCTAGGATGATTGACGTTTTTTCAACTTCGATAGGGGTTTTGAAATGGTATTAGATGTACAAGCTTTTCCCTTAGTTTCCTAAGTATTTTTTTTTTCGTGTACTTGTATGTACATTGATTTTATCGAGGTCTGAGATTTCTTCGAGTAGCCCTTCCACCCATTATGACCACACCAGTATAATATACAAGTGGATATACCTATTCTTATTGTCTACACGTTAATATATTTTAATCTGTACTTTAAATGTATTATGCTATTGCATTCAAACAAGTTGTCACGCTTTCTTGTTATCCCGTTCGAGTTCTCTAAAAATCTCTTTTAAGTTTTAGTCATGAAATTAAAAAAATATAAATACATTCGCATTCGACATGTACGTTTTTTATTATCGACAGATGAAACGTTTTTTTTTTATTTAGTTTCTTTTTTTATGAGTAGCTGTCTTCTGTTTTAATATATTTAAACAACTAGCGAACCCCATAAAATGATTTTCATACTTCTAGATACACAAGCCGACCGTTGTTTAGCATTGAAAGCAAATTCAAAGATTTTATTAAGATAATAACATCCTGTCTCGATGAACTACCATACAGCAAACAAATGTCTTCGTATTATTTTTAAAACAGTTTGAAATATTACTTTAAATGTTGTAAAAACATAAAAGTAGAAACATTTTTACTTAAATGTTTCAAAATAAATTATCCCAACGAACAAATAAATACGCAATACTATTTTAAAATAACTTGGCAATATAATTATATTAAAATAGTAAGTAACTCAATTTATCAGAAAATAATTACAGCGCAGTAGCCTATGTACTACTCGAACCTTTTTAAAATTATTTTACCTAATATTTTTTAATTTTGATATCATTTCATAATGTTCACGTTTCAGTTTTGAAACTTTAACGGTAACACACATATTTGATTAACTTTTTAGATCAAGAATAATTTACTATCTTATCATTTTGATTGGCCGACAACCAGTTTTGAAAAATTAATCTTAAAGTTATACAATTGCAGTTTTATCTACTTCACTGCTCTCCCCTCCTGTCTTTACTTTAAAACTCTAATAACTTCTAAAGTATATAACAGAAGTTTATTATCGATCAGTTAATATTTTTAGCCGATTAAACTTGATTATAAGAGTTACTAAAATATGTATTTTATTACATTTAGGTTTCAAAAGCGGATAGCACTCTTGAAAATGCTTAAAGGGATATACATTTGTTAAATACATAATTTATATAACCTATATAAGTGTCGTCAAAGAGAAAAATGACAAAATCGTAATTATTATATTTCCAGGAAATGAGAGGCTCGCGTTAAACGGATCATAAAACGAATGTATACATATTATTTACAAAATGATTTCCCATAAAACATTTAAATTCCAAATACTCGTATTTGAAATTTTCTTAGGAATATTTTTTATATATTTTTACAAGTACAGTTATTTTATAAAAAGTTGACGTTTATGCACTGTTATTGGTTTCAGTATTTCGTCTCAATCATTTGACACCCTTTGAAAATATTATCATTTTTCAATGCTTACTTCCTGAGTATTGGTACTTGGTAGACGTTTATTATCACATACTTTTTTTTGTGAAACGTGTGCGCTTTTAAAATGAAATCATTATAAAATAATGATGTTATTTTATTTATTTATTTTCGTAACGGTTTTTTTTCACTAATATTAATAATTTGTTCATTAAAAATAACAAAACTCGGCAACCAGTAATTTCGTAAAGCTTAAAAAATTGTTTTCTTTTATTTGGCGTGTCGGATGTTTCAACTAAAAATATACTTTTCTTGTGTATTTCCTATTGTCATTTTCATCTCAAACTATAAAACTCTTATTTAAGAGCAATCGTATAGGGATTACAGCTAAATATATGAACTTCGCAACATTAAACTATTCGCTGCGAGTCGCAAATCAAACGGATAACTCAATAAACAGGGCTAGTGTTTATTATTTGAGTCTCTTTGTCAAGACATTCGTTTTAAGCTCCGGCGCTTTACATACTTAATTTGAACGCCCTCTCTGGCTTTTGTACTCGACGCATAATGCCGAGTTTGTTCGGTACAGACAGCCAGAGGTGACCAAACCCATATCACCGACAGAAATATCAATAATATAATAATAATAAAGTACCATTTAGATTGTTCGATTGTCTAAATTATTAATATTTGTCTCTAGTCGTTGTACATTTATCTTATCAAAGTTAAGTGTAAAATATGTGCAATTAGTAAATTAAAAAATGCAAGTACATCTTCGTAATTATTATTCTTTGTCTTCTTCAAGGAAATCGACGGCCGTGATTATTAACACCTCCGCTTTATCCTACTGAGTCAATCCAAAACAAATTTTGTCTACAGTGCATGATATTAGATATGCCATAATACAGTACAAGTGCAAACATTTTAATTGTAATTCAGTCCATATGTGTTATTATCTGTATCCCCCTTGGCCTTTGCTTATTTAACGCCATACGGCTGCTACCAAACCAATATGTCAGAAGGGAATACAATACACAGTTATCTAAATATTTCTATGTTACAATAATGATTTCTATAAAAATAATTTTTTTAACTTAAAAACGTTTTAAATAATATACTTATTATTATTTTATAGGGTAATATTAAGGGGTGACTTTTAAAAATTAAATTAAAATATACACGTATAGATAATGGAAACAACAACTGGTCGATAACTAGTTTTAAATAAGTACTTCTCGAGTAATTATCGTTTAAAGGTATAGACTGTGGGTGAGGTGAACTATAATGTTGTTTATATCCACACGCACAACTCATCTGCACAGCTTTCCTCACCTAAAACTTTAAATTCGAATTACTCAATAAAAATATTACTTAGTCAAAACTAGTTATCGACCAGTCATTATTTTCATTACATTATTCAGCTTTTAATAAACAATTAAAATACGTATGTTTCTATTTTACTTAATACTAAGTATAACATTTTATTATTTATATACAGGGTGATCCATTAAACGTATCACACTCTTTTTTTCCTCTTAAAATAACTGATATTTTGTAGTTTTACTTTTTAAAGACGCTTTAGTTTATGTTATTGTACAATAATAGATAATATTGAACTTTTTATTTATATTTTCCAGAGCTCTATTAACTTTAAAAACTACTAGATTGTAATTATTTTTTGAGAAAATGAGTGTCTTACGTTAAAAAGAACACACTGTATATGATAAGTTTTGTTTGAGACTTTTTCAACTATAACCCTGTTTTTATAGTGGTCGGCCATCGCTCGACAACATTATTTAAAACAGCTGATAGTTTGGCTAAGCCGTGGACTAATCCGGCGGATTTATAATTGTCGACCGCGGAACAGATTTTTATTTTTTACATAATGCTACGTCATATTGAGACTTGAAAATAATAAAGATAAAAGTATGTGAACGTCACATTATTATCAAAGTAACGATCGGATATTGGCTATATCGGCTAATCGCTAATAATATGATAATAATCATAATAATGTAATGTATTCAATGTGTTACTCACACAACGGCAGCAGACCGCTGTTGAGCATGGACAGCTTGATGGTATTGGGTATGGACACCAGGGACACGCTGTTGGTGGACGACTTCTTCTTCTTTTTCGGTTTGTCGTCCACGAACTTGGTGGCCGATTTCGACCGGCCCTTGTGCCGATATGTTTTGCCGCCACTGTTGTAGCCGGTCGAACCCTGTTGGTTGTGGCGGTGCTGGTGGTTCTGATGGTTGGGCTGCTGATAGCCGTAGCTGCCGGTGGTGCTGCCGCCGGCAACCGACGAGTCGCTCCTGTAGGACGACAGCTTGACGGCACCGATGCAGCCTCCGGACTAAGATGTGTATGTAATTGTATATAAATGAAATGCCCACACGGTCGGCCGAGTGCGTACGATGGCGGTGCCGACGATAACCCGCGCGGACGAGACGGTTGCGAAAAAATTAATATGAATTACGAGGTGGAAAACATATACTTTTAATTGAACACACGTCGGCGGAGACCGATGGGAAATTGGAACGACGATGACGGCGGCGACTATGGTCCGGCGTTGGATGTCCGCACGAAACTGACGGTGTAAACGGCGGCGGTGCCGATCGTCGTGTGTTGTCGCCGCCGTACCGACGCCCTGCAGGCGCCGCCGGTATTCGGCAGTCGTGGCGCTTGTGTCCTTTTTTTCGGCACACATCACACAAGCCGCGCCGTCGATCTAACAGGTTAAATTCGAATTTTTCACACATGACGTGCTCGACTGGCTGTCGCACCGTGGACGGAACAACTATCTCTCGAGCCCGGACCAGGTGGATTGTAATGATTGCCCGGTAAACTTCGACCCAATACAATACATCAATTGTGTTGATAATGCTCGCTGGCTTATCAGCAATGTTAGGCAATATCAGCGTGGTCTGAGAGATCTTTCTAGACTTTTCTGGGCCCGCGTAGCTAATTTTTGGCTAAAAAAAACTATCGCGGTGTGTTCTACAATTTTTGTTTTACTCACTACAATACTACCTCAAGAGGACGCCACATCACCCACTTATTATTAGCAGCGAAATATGCTAATTTTTTTCGCAAAGTCTTAATTTAGACCATTTATTACTTGATTTGTTATTTCTGCTAGTTTACTTAAGTTCTTAAATTTGTAATTGCATTGTTTCTTGATTTCTTCATTACCTACAAAAAAAAAAATCAATCACGCAAATACGCAAAAATGTTTTAATAGGTAAACTTATGGTTTGTATTCATTATCGATATTAGTTCAAATTTCAAACCTTTGCTAAAAAAAAAAGTCACGAATTATAACAATACATAAAACATAATACACGAACAACTTTGGTAAATGAATTTAGCTAAAATTAGCATAATTTGTGGTTATACACAAAAAATATCTCGTATCGGAGTATTTTTTATAAACTCCTTATGTTGATTAATATATTGATTGATCCTCTAAATACCTCTGTAGTTTTAAATAATTAGCGCCATTAAAACTAGTAACTACATTATCCATCAAACAATAGTCACAAGGAACATTTGTCCAAAACGTTGCAACGTTCGTTCTCTGGGATGTATAGTGTGTAAATCAAAGTTCAACAAAATATCTGTAATTATTAGTTGTATTGTTCGGTGCTTTGGACGTTGCTCGGCGACGAGGACAACGCGTTAGTTAATTATAAGATAGCGTGATTGCGCTTATAATTTAACGAGTTTCCTATAGAAATATAGCGTGGCTACTGAACGAGTCGGGTAGACTAATTGACAGTCTGTTCAAAGGAGAAACAACGAAAAACGACCCTAACGGCACAGACGAATGGGCTTTCAAGTTTTTCTTGAGTATCCTTCTTGTATTTCTATAAACATGGTCACGAAGATCTAACAAGCGGTTCTATATATTACTTGTAAACATAGTTAAACTCTCAATATTGTTATGTAATGTAAATTACAAGTGCATATACAATAAATATAAATAATTTATAACTACTATCCATATCAATTCTAGCGGATGGTACGCAAAACAAAATGTTGCCCCCTTATATTATAAGTCTTACCCGTAAGGCAGGACCAAAAAGGTGTAATACGCTTTTTTTTATAAACTATTTGTTTAATGATAAAGATTGTTTTTTTTAAATTTTCAATGGGATAAAATACATTTTAATTATTGCAAGATCTATTTTTAAAATTTTGTTTTTATCGAAACATATTAGTTAGATGAAAAAATATTATTAAAATATAGATTGCTTTTAGCTTTACGTCAATTATTTAATTAATATAACGTAATAAAATTGTTTGTGACATTTCGTCCGAAACTTTTACGTTAACAGTAATGCTACCACGATTACAATATTTATACTAAAAAATACATTTGTAATATGTAATTTTTTATGCAAAAAATAAACTAGAGGTGATAAATCATTCTGCTCACTTCTTCTAATACGCCACTGGGTTGTCTTAGCTGTGTTTGTATCACGTGAGCATCGTTAGCAAAATTCAAACTTAAAAAAAAATAAAGCTTGACCGTATAGTTAATTACTTTTTTTGGATGAGCGTAAACCCAATAAAACCTTTATTTTTGAGTAAATTACAAACGTTTGATTGCATTAAACAAAACAAAAAAACTACTGTTTCAACATTAAAATGGAAAATACTAAAAAAATGTATGCTGAAGGTCAATGTGAAAAATTGAGTTTAACTTTATTGATACTATTTCGGATTTTTTGTTGTGGCCAGTTAGGTTAACGGACAGTTAACACAGATGTAGGAATTACATTTAAATTAGAAACTGATGAAAAACACCAGATTTTATTTTTGGAATAGGTTTGATAGAAACACTTTGAAGTGTAAAATTGTATTGCTATTTATGCGTATCCTTTCATCTTACAGTTTTAATTTTGTCTTTTCTAAAAAAAAACAAAAAAAATTGCTAGTCGTGTTTACTGTATAAATTGTATTATTCGGTCGTTATTTTTCTAACAGATAATTATAATTATTTAAACATACGGAAATTATTTGTCACTTTCCCAAATCGAGCACATTATCTAAACACCTTTTGACATAATATTTTACTTTTATCGTTTACTCTCAACATTTCCGGTCTGACGTTCGGGGTTTTCTTCAACTGAATAATTCCGAAACCCAACTCTCTTTTGACATATTCAAAAAGAAAACAACAACAAACTGTCCTAAGCGGATGAAATGTTTTTATTATCTTTAAGTAATACATAATTTCATATTAATAATTCTGAGATTCGAAGAGTCGTTTGTTTTTTCCCTGTAAATAATACATGTTTTTGTGATTAAATAAAAAAAACAGACGACTAACGCAGTAATCCGCATTTAATGATACAAAAGGCCTTTTAGGACTTGTATTTCGCTGAACTACTATACAAGAGATTAATGCGTCATTAGTTATTTATATATTTTTTTTAGTTATTATCAAAACTCTAAACAACGTTTTGATATACCAGAAGCATTATAGGTACTTGCTGTCACGTTTATGTATTTTATATGACGCCTAATATTTTTCAGCTCCACGCACAGTGCATCAATTTGCCGGCTGTAGGCGAGTTGCGGCCCTAAGTGTTGTTTACGATGCCGGTGAAATGCGGCCAGTATCCTATAAAGTTAAATTTTTGAAAATATCGATACCTAAATGCAGGATAATTTTTTTTGAAGAGATCCACTCATATCTGATTGGATTTAATTAATTTTTAAATTTTTATTTTTTGCATTGTGATCTCGTTACTTTTAAAGTGATAAAAATAATACTATATCACACTCTGTTTGTCCTTAGCTTTAATCTTTAATAACAATAAAAATAATTATCCAAGACTGGTTATCGACCAGTCAACATTTTTGGTAAGTTTAAATTTTTTGCCAAACCAGTAATGTGAAAAAAACTAAAAAAATGTTAACGACAGAACCGCTCATCAACCAATAACATAATTTTGTTGATTATTTTTGATAAAATTATATTTTATAACAATACCCATCCGTTGTCACACCAATAATTAGAACATGAAAATATGTTTTAAATACTTTTAAACTTAATTTTAAATATGTAGTGCACTCTAGTGGTAAAAAAAAAATCTAGTATTGCTTAAGAAAAAATATATTTGAACCTATGACATAACGTTAACGTTAATTTGTCATGAAAATTATATTTTTAATAATATATGTATATTTTTATTTGATTTTTTATTATGATGAATATTTGAAATTAACTTTTTAAGTGTATATCACAGTCCGAACATTTTTTAAATATTATTAAATAGTTAAAATTAAATAAATTATTGCACCCTATTTTTTATGTATTTAATTAAAACTGTTTTTTTTCGTAATTTTAGCAATATCTTTAAAAACATTAAATTACTGGTCTATCTTGACAATATTTTTTTCTAATAAAATACAGACAGTTAATTTGATTTTTTTTCAATATAATATATACTTTTAAGTTAATTCATATATTTTTTAATGAGTACACTTCAAAATATGTCTGAGAACATTTCTAACTGTAACTGCATCTTTAGGGTTCAAAAGTGAAATACTAATTTGACAAATAATAGTAAATATAAAAAATGGTCTATACATAAATACTACTTTTGATTTGAGATTTGTAGTATGATTTTATGTCTATGTATCGCGGAAGCAGTAAACTATAGTGATATTTTACAGTAAAATACCTATATTGGCGACAAACGAAAGGTAAAAATTGTAAAGAATACTTATGTAATATAAATAAAGACCAATATTTTTTAACAACTAATTACATAATTCGTACACCATATATATATATATATATTATAACATTATTGCACATATAAAAATTTAATAACTTATAACTAAATATATAACAATTTTATAGAAATTTTCGGTCGTTCTCGCCATTTTGACCAGACAATCAAGTAAAGTTCAGCTACTATTATTTCGATAGCTTTTTAAACTACACTTGAGTGTTTCAAGTTCAAGCAACGAGAATGGTCGTTCGATGAATTATCAATTTTACTATTCGGCTTTGTGCTTTGTGTTTTTCAACAATTGTCCAGACGCTAAACTGTAAATGAGCTTAAGAACTTTGTACGCAACGTAGCCAGCAATCGACAATGCCAAGAGTAACGCGGCAATTACATCTAGCAGAAAGTATTGGTACCACGTCAGATCCAGGGCGTGTGACCTTAAGTGCGGTGCTCCTTTGTGCCGGATGACGTACTCGGTCCAGTAAACCACAGATTCTGCAGGTGTCATCGGTCGGTCCTTGAACCGCTCCGATGTGATTTTGGCGTTTTCCGCGTACCTGCAAACCGGCAAAATGATAACATTACACGGTGAACTCGGATTGACGAATAACACGTCGGGGTTGTGCTCACGATTTGTTGTTGATCAGTTCGGTAACGGCGTCCAAAAACGGTTTTTTGGTCACTTTCAGCAAATCCAAGGATATGGCCATTCCGGCTTCGACTAAGTTCTCGATGTTTCTCGGTTGGTCGTAGAACAACGGAAATCCCAGCACGGGCACACCGGCGTCCACGGCCTCGTATACACCCGATATACCACCGTGGCTGATGAACAGCTTTACGTTTGGATGCACTGTGGACACAAATATAATTATTGTAATAATTGCACAGTGAAATTTCCACTTTTTACAATATTTTTGTCTGATAGTCACCTAATCGACTATCTACTCCACCTTCGTAACTTTATTTGTTAATAATCAATACAAAATGGCGGATATTTTCCAAAAAAAAAAACGTTGAGTTAAGTTAGGTGTGGAATTTTCATTTCGACTACTTTTAAACACCATTATTCTCCCATTTCACATTTTACTGGCGCAACTCTCAAAATGTATTGTCTTTGATCTTTCTAAGTAGTTCTATCTAATTAATATTTAAAAACTACAATATTGTAGGCACACACTAAATTAAACTGCGCCACTCCCTATATTCTACAAGAAGTATACGTGTTTAATAAATTGGAATTTATAAGAACCAACAAATTGAAGATAAAAAAAACACCATCAATGTGAAATCATTAAATTGATCAATTTTGTTTTGAATACTTAAAATTTTGCTACTCCATTCACCACGTCTTGCCTCCAACACATAACAGGTACTCTACCTCTTCGTTACTATATTTTATAATAATTCTAAGTGTTCTGTAACTGTTTCTCTCAAATGCCTCTTTCCTCCTTCAGCTGCTCCAGTTCAACTCCTAACACTTTTGTAATTTTCGGGAGTCTTTTCTTTCTCGGTACTACCCACAATACCTCTCTGGACACTCATTCATAGCTTTTCTCCAGCCTATAAATACCTTACTTATTAATATGGCATTTATTTTTAAACCCAGTACGAAATATACGTACAAAGTATATCGCGTTGCGGGAACCATTTGCTTGTCATCACATTCGCTGGTTTGTCTTTCATTTCACCTTCGTATTTCCATAGAACTCGTTGTGGAACTTGGGCCAGTGCCTCTTTAAACGCTTTTTGAATATGGTCGGGCAGTGTTGACATCGACACAACCGATCCAAAAGTAAAATAGATAACTCCGTGTGGTGAATTTTCAATGAATTCTAGTATATCCTGCGAACACATGTGGTTTTGTAATTAATCATATGCAAAAAGTATGGTAAAAACATATTGTGACATTAACAAACATTTTCGAATAACATAATATCAATAATTAGTTTAACAAAACATAATATTAAAGTAGATCAATAACATTTTAAACTGTTGTAACAGATGTAAAGTATTCCAATATACAACATTTGGGTTTTGTTTCAATAATAATTAGATAGCATTAATATATAATATAGGTTATCATTAAAAATTTAAAAGTTATACCTAGTAGTTTCTACTGCATTTGCATAGTCAGTAGAGGAGTAAAAACGAGAACAATAGTCTAGATTATTTCTATAAATGAGGAACTTATTAGTTAATATTTTTAAAAAAAATCGGAGATAAAATTGTTTAGCGATATCACCGCTACTTATACCTATTTTATATTGTATAGAAACTAAATAAACACTTTAGTTATTTCTATGGTATGCATGTATAATTTCACTACAGCAACTTGCAATAGCATGAACATTTGAACCGTTTCAAAGATCGGCTTAGCTACGTTATACTATTAAAAAATTTCCGCACTTTAAATATCATATTTTGCTATTTCCTTTTTGTTTACTATCCTATTAGTGTTGTTAATTACTTTTTACAAAAATACAGTCAAAGTTACAGAAATTGTCGATTCATATTTGATTTGATTTCTTAAAAAAAATATTAAAACACTATTAAACTAGCAAATATTTTGTTTTCCAATTTAGTAATTGCTTAGACATCAACGTGATAATTTTGTACTGTACTATTTCTACACTTGAATATTAGTTGCATCAAAACGTTTATATTATACATTTTTTTTGTTTTATTATTATTGTTAAAATCAAACTTATTTGAAAAAGTTCTATAACTGGCAACTTTTTCTGGCAATACAAACTTACTACCAATAATACTATAACTTATAAATTAAACAATTATTTCACTAAAGTTTAATTATTTGTTACGATATTTGTAATAATAATTGAACTATGTACAAATTCGGATCAAAATCAATACCCCTTCAGCTTCACATTGAAATTAAAATAATTTTTTTATACTCAATGGGAATTAATACAACTGTAATATTCATGTTGTTACAATATTTGATTAGCTGCCTAATTATTATCTAATAACATTTTTACACTATAGGTAAATAGTATATTATACTTATACTAGTAGAATACATAATTGTTGTGCAGACGGAATTATTCCGGTGTGGACATTTCTAGAGATTTTTGTGATCGTGGAATACACAGAAAATTATAGGAATGAATCACAGACTATTACAGATAACTGAATATTGTATTTTGTTATTCCCGGGGTTTGCAGCTATCACGACTTTCGGAAATTTCCGGCAATGGTTACCCTAAATGTATTGGTCAGGTCCGATACGTACGGTCGGTATGCCTTTGGTGGCACTCAGGTGTATGCCGCCTATTTGGACCAGGTTCGACGGGAACGGCCTGGGCGGTTCGGTGACGTGATGCGTGTTCTGGAATATGATTGACGGGTTGATGGGCTTGAGGTGGTCGTAGGGGTTTGGGAATCGAGCGCGGTGCACGATTTCGTCGAATTGCATTTGGGCGGCCGCATAGACGTACAGAACGGTGTTGAGAAACCGCTGGACGAACGATTTTGACGGTGACCCGTAATACGAAAATAAATGTGCCACATAAGCGGGATTGGACACGTGGCCGGTGAACGATCGTTCCATGTACGTCAGGGTGGGCGACGGCACCAGGTAGATGATGGGCAGGCCCAACTTGGAAGCCAACGCGTTCACGCAATCCGTGCCGAGTGGTTCGGCGAGCACGGCGTCGAAGTGCATGCCCTGGCCGGCGGTGTCCATGATGTGTTTCATCCGGTCGTGGATGTAGATGGAATCGCATAGCATCTTACCTATGAACACCATCTGCGGTATGAGTTTGATCGGATCCCCGTAATTGGACACTAAGAAGTCGAAGTCCATGCTGAGTTTTATGGGCACCGTGTTGGACAAGTCCACTTCGGTGTAGTTGGCCCGGTCGCCGTCCGGGAACGGCGTGAACACCGTCACCTCGTGTCCGCGGTCCGTCAAAGCCCGCAGCACGGCTCTCACGAAGTTCCAGTGACTTTTGCCCGCGACCGACTCCAACGCCAGAATCCTGAAGCTTTCCACCGGCCGCGGTCCGGTCTGCGCCGACAGGGCGGCCAGCGCGCACAGTAAAGCCGTCGAGTATCTCATTTGTGATTTGCGTCGGTCGGCCGTTCTATGCGGTGCACGTGCAAGCCGGTGTACTAAAACTGCGACTATCTAACCGGATTGGCCGTTCGCGAATGTTACACTTGTGCAATGGACGATCATCGGTTGTCTGCACGGAACACGTTTGTCCGTAAATGCAAGTACAGTAATTATTATTTGTCCACGACTACCTGGTGTATCATTATGTATTTGTAATGTTTCACAAACCACATTAATCACATACCGAACGCACGCGCGTACCCGATCAATGAAAACCAATGTAATTGAGCGTAATACGACCGATATAAGATGGAGAACGGAGCTATCTAAATTAAATAGTTGCATTATAGAGAACACGTGCAATTATAAATTATAATACCATTGTTATAATAATGAAGATTAAAAATCGTAATACAAATAGACAAAGTTATAAATAATGGTTTCACATAAATATGACCTCATGGCCCAACTTATCGTGTTTGTACCTAGTTATGCGAATCGATCGAGTAGGCAGCAAAGACGGCAATTGCAATGGTTAATTATACCAGTGATGTGATTTGGGAAAAATATTTAGGAAGAGTGATATCGTCAGTCTAAGAATTAATTAGTCAGCGTAAAATAATTATTTCTATTTTGAGTACCTACGCAGTCTATAGAATTGATTACGTTATCTGATGACTTATATATCTATAACAGTATTCGTATATAGTAAAAACACTCCGTCATAAACCATATTATAATCAAATAGTTATCAATAAAATAACGCGTGTATTAGTGTATCCCTTATTGGCAAATTATGTAAATATTTCCAGTAAAAGTGTCGTCGAAAACTAATATATGAGCAATAACTTGGTTTAAAAAAAATGGTCATTTCTAATTTTGTTTTTTCATCACTTCAAATAACGGCCCCTACATTTGTATTCTATCAGCCATTTATAATTTAATACCTTTGTCGTTATTATATCTTATCGTGGTCTTGGGTCTCGTTTGTATTTTGGCTTGTCCCGTTTCTAACATAAGAATTAAACGTGTCTGTCGGTTTCTTCCCGCGATTTTACAGCAATAACACAACGCGAAATGATATTTTGTGTAGGCTGTAAGGATGCGAGATAAAACATTATCTATTTTGATTATGGTACTCACGCTTGGAATGGTTCTGGAAGAACTCAAGTGTATGCCGCCGATTTGTATGATGTTCGGCGGCCATGATCTCGACGGTTCGGTCACGTAGTGAGTGTTGAAGAACGTCATCGAGGGCTTGACCAATTCCACGCGGTCGTACAATTCTAGACGTTCGTTTTTCAATTTGGTTTCCGTTTTGGCGAACAAGTATACGGTGTACGCGTGCAACAACAGACTCTTAAACCTGCCGTAAAGCGTTCTGGGCCGGCCAACGCGATCCAACAAATGCGTGATCACCGCCGGATTGGACACGTGGCCGAAAAGCGAGCGTTCCTGGTTGGTGATGACCGGCGATGCGGTCACATGGATCATGGGCAACTTTAGGACGGTGGCCACGTACGACACGCAATCGGTACTGATCAGCTCAACCAGCACGGCGTCGTAATGAGGCCCGCCCGACCTGAGCACCGTCTTCATGCGTTCGTCGGCGTACACGAGGTTGCACATGTACCGCGAGTAATTGACGGTAATCGGCAAAATAGACACGGGCAAAATGCTGTCTTCGAATTGGTTCTTCAACATGGGATTCACGTCCACGCCAATGGTATTGGGCAGCACGTTTGACATGTCCACTTCGGTGTAGTTGGGCCGGTCGCCCTCCGGGAACGGCGTGAACACCGTCACGTTGTGGCCGCGGTCAGTCAACGCCCCTAATACCGCGCTCATAAAGTTCCAGTGGCTCTTGCCCGCCACCGGCGCAACGGCCAGAATTCGCGCACATTCCGTCACCGGCGCAACGTGCCACACGGCCAACGCGCAAAACACGACCACCGTCGACACGGGTCTTACCGACATCTTGGACGACACGGAAAACGCGTTCGGCCGCCCGTCGAGCTTGTCGGCGGTTAACGGTCTGTCCAGTTCAAAGTGCGATCATTCGTTAACGCCCGCCGCACTCGAGTGTTATTGAAAAAATGCCCGCGGAATGACTGGATGAAAAATAAATAACGAGTACTGTTGTTAGAGTATTTATTGTAATTGTCGGTGGGCGATCAATGGGATATTCAACATGGGTCTATAAAAAAAAACATGACATCACTTCATCAAGTAGGTACACCGACCGATCTACGCCAAAGATCTGTGCGTACTGTAATATTGCTTACACTTCAAGCTTAATTATATTTGAACCGCATAAACAACATAATTTTAACATCGAACCTACGCGTCCAACTGTTGGATGTACAAATATAATTACCATATCGATTAAGATTAAAGTTACAATAACATGAATTAAAATGCGGTTTATTCTTATATAATAATAATAATATTGCGTTGATATAATAATTTACTGTTGTACGAAATATCTCGAGAAAAACATTATACAGAATGTAACAATTATGTCGACTATTTTTAACCCAACAATATAAAGCCGGGAAGCGAACGTTGATCTCGACAAAAACGAGATAGTGCGTTTTACATAAAAAAAAAGTTGTGAAATAGTATATACAGTTGTCTCGCATTTATTTATCACTATTGTGATTTTAATTACCCGTTTTTATCACTTAATTCAAGTTTAAACAAAAAGAGGTACGACTCGAAACAGAATACACCTATCGCCTTTTTCAATGGTTATCATATTATGACCAATTATTATTGTTTATAATCAGTTCCGGATCACAGTACTTATAATTTTCATCAGAGAGCGCACAATTAATAGATTAAGCACATCATACAACGGAATAATTACAGTAGGTAGTTAACACAGTAGGTAACGGAGTCCTATTATTATTATTATCATTAACTACTCGTATTAGTTAGAAAATATTTTTAGCTTGGATATACAGTTGAGATAACATTGGTTTTTTAAGGATATGCGGTTTTTTCATGTTGTATGTCTGAACTAACTATATTATCTTTTAACAGATTTTTCCATTTTTTATAGTCTTAGATTTTTCACCAAAGGTATTTAACCAGGTCTTTGACCAAAATTTAAAAGTTCATAATTTTTTCGTCAAAATTAAAGAAAGAACTCTGAAAATTGGCATTATTTAAACAAAAATACACAACACGCTGTATAATACCTAAATGTAATCAAAATTATTTTATATATTTGCATCAAATCCTTTAGAACAATTCTATCATTTTTAGACTGTTATCATAACAAATAACTTTATATGCTTCATAGGCGAAATTTCAATTTTTAACTCGGGGGGGGACTGGAATTAAAAAAAAAATATATATATAAGTAAATATATTTTTGTATTTTAAAATGTTATGCATAACCAAATTTTTTTTGGTTGGGCTATGTCTAGCATTGGGGGGGCTAAGCCCCCCCTAGCCCCTCCGTATTTGCGCCTATTAGGCTTGTGAAAGTCATGACCCTACTGTGCATGTTCTCACTGTGCTGATTTTTATTTTTTATAATCAACAATCGGGTCTAAGCATATTAGCTTTAATGATGAGCTTGTTCGTAAAATAAGCGCCTAGCTGACATGATATTATCATAACCCAGTTTATATAATTATAAATACAAATAAAACAACTGGTATCAGAACAAAATATATCCAATTAAGTAAATATTTTTATATTACACTGCTAATAGTAACTATAAGTATTTATTAAAAATAAACTGTTTATTTAAATTCAGCAGTTTGTAACATTGCCCCCAAAAATGTTAGTAGGTAATCAATAACAATAAAAACAAACGTACACACTATTTTAAGATGCATAAATCCTACATACATTATCAAATTACTAAAATGTATAATATTATCATTTTTATGTAAATAAATAGTCAATGTTGACCGTTGGGACTCAAGGACAAAGGTGCAAAATTATCGTGTTGGTATAAAAATTGTTTAATTACTCTGATTACATGTATTATACTTGGAGTTGAACCTTGCACATTTTTCTCCAAATAACGACATACGTTAAAATATTATAGGTCCTATTTTTTCTAATAGTTACCCATGGGTAACTAATTATGCCCCATTATCATCTTCCGGCATAATGCCATGTTACCAAGGACATATTATATCAAGCCATAATTTAAAGCTAATATGTATTTTAAGTACATTTATTTTTACTTAGCTTACACCGGAGGTACGTTAAAAGACTGAAAGTTAAGAAAAAGGTGACATCTTCCTTTTCAAAGTAATGTAACTCATTCAACGTTTTCAGATTTTAAGCTACCCGACAAAATATAACCAAAATAGTTCTAAATTTGTTTAGCCATAAAGCACCTAAGTGTACTGTATTTAAACAAAAATTGACTGATTGTACTGCCTTTTGACTTTTAAAATACCTACTCTTGAAAAACAATTAAGAACTATAACAAATTTAAAAAAAGTCAATACACACATTATCTATCAACGTACATTACTCAACTGAAATCAGATCATAAACACCGAGCGGTTAACACAAAGTATAAAACTATTTAACCGAGTTATGCTGGGTTGCAAAGTTAATTATTAAATTTAATGGTTCGTTAAAATTTAATCGGCTAATCACAGGCCAACAAATTATGTTTGAGGAACCACTAAGCATCTATTGTTAATAAAACGTGTATGGAACCCGGCATTAGTATATCAGTAATATTCGATCTAAATCGGAGTCAGTGTTAAATTATTATACAAACTAAAGTACATGGATATGCGTGTTTATTTGAATAAAAAAAATAATTAATTTCTTAAAACAGAAAAAAATGTATTTCAGCATATTGTATGTTAGATTAAAATAATTATAGTTTAAAATATGTTTACTTTTTTAAAACATTGTTACGATATTTTTTTGAAATATTCATTTTTTAATTTGCTTTCTAGTAATAGAATATAATTATATATGTTCATTGTGAATGAATTTTACTTAAGACCTAAACATTATTGTAAACGATATACCATTATATTCTTAAATATAATCTAGTTTCAATGTACAACGTTTCTTTTATAGCAACTACATTTTTTGAAAAATGTTGTTTCTTATCTCTAATTATTACGTTTAAGCTTGGAGGAAGGAAACTTATGGCCGGTGGATAATCTAATTTGATCAAAAGTCATTAAACCAAGTTTTAACCATTACAATTGTTCTATTTAAAATAAAATGTTTACTAAAAAGTATAAAAAATTACTAGGTTTCTATTAAATATACGTTTTAGCAGCTAAAAAAAAGTTTATTTCAATAAAAAAAGGTCTTAATCCATAATATTATAGTCTGTAGTAGCTACACTAGTTTCCTAGTATTGCTAGTTAATTAAATGATAATGACTAAATATATCTACTAAAAAATGAGTATAGAAATAGGTTGGTAAGTTAGGTATACATTGAACACCTAACCTAACCTATAGACTTAACGAGTCGATGACACTTACTATTAAGTTTAGTTATCTAAAAATCTAACTTAAATTTTGTGAGTAACTAATACTGTAGTTTAATATTATGTAAAATTATAATAAATGTGTTTTTTTTTGTGTCCAGTACAAAATTTAAAATTAGGATTCAATTTAAATAATTAATTAAGTTAAACAACTTCTTTTTATATTGTTACCTTGTATTCCTATATATACCATGCTACATTATCATGAGCCAATTGGCGTTAATTCAAATAAATAAATATAATATACTATTAGCATACGGTAACATATGCACTTAACGCATCATAACAGTTATTATTCACGGTTGGTATGGGTTTAGGCGAGAATAGATGTATGCCACTGACTTGTATGATGTTTGAAGGCAAGGGCCTAGATGGTTCGGTGATGTAATGGGTATTAGAGAACGTGAGCGATGATACGCCCGGTTGCATATTGTCGAATGGTTGTGGATTGGTTTTCTTTAAGTCGGTCTCGCTGCTCGCCAAAACGTACGACAAGCCCAAGTATAACAATGTGTTGGTCAGCCGATCGCGAAAACAATTGGGCCAGGCGTACCGAGCAATTAAATGAGACGAAACGGCAGGATTTGGCATGTGCCCGTATAGGGCCCGTTCAAGGTACGTGAGCATAACCGAAGGTATAATGTAGATCATGGGCATTTTCAGCGTGGCCGCTACGTAATCCACGCACAACGAGCACACCGGTTCTGTGATTACCAGATCAAAGTGAGCATTTTCGCGTTGGCTTAAGATTTCTATCATGCGGCTGTCGTTGTAGACGATTTTACATATACTTCTCGTTATGTAAGACAAGCCGGAGAACGCACTCAGAGGAGTAGTGAGCAACGTTTTTTTTGACATTTTTTGGAAATCCAAACCGACGTTAACGAAACTTGCGTTGGTCAATTCGATTTCGTTGTAATTCTGACGGTCTCCGTCTGAGTAAAACGTAAAAACCGTCAAGTGATGTCCGCGTTCCGTCAATGCTCGAAACACGCCCCTCAGCACATTCCAGTGGCTAGCCCATTGCCCTGGTACCACTGCGAGTATTCGCGAGCCATCCGCCTCTAGCGCAAAAAAACACGTGACTAAAGCTAGTTTTTTTTCAACTTGTCAAAATCGGACTCGCTTTCCCGTCAGTACAACAACTTTATACCAAAACTCAAAAAAATGTAATAAACAAACATAGACACAACACAAACTAAAACAACATGAAAAACGCTCAGCACATTATATAGTGAACTGTTTTACACTATATTAAACTGTACATTGTTTATTATCTATACAACCATATACGCTCCATTGATAATAGTTAATATTGATAATGACATAACCACTTTAAATAAGAATTACGAACGAAAACAGAAGGTTAAAAACGACTAAGAGTTATCTGTTATATTTAGTCCATGTAATACAACGCGTTAATTACTTAAGAAAATTATCAAAGTTTTGATAATCTATTCAATACATACATTCTGGGTTATACAAAACTTTATTGGTTCCGTAAACCTTTACTGGGCATTCGTAATTAATACAAACTCGATTTATACAACTATTTTAGTATTGTGCGACCCAACATTAAGATAGTTTAGAGTTTGTATTACAATAATAAATAATAGTTGACAAATTACTAATAGATATTTATAACATGATTGGTGTGCACTGATCACAATATATTAGTTAATACTTACGTTTGGTAATGGTTTAGACGAAACCAGATGTATGCCACCGACTCCTATGAAATTTGGGGGCAAGGGCCTAGATGGTTCGGTGATGTAATAAATATTACCAAATGTGAGCGATGATTCGACTGGTTGCATATTATCGAATGGATGTGGATTAGTTTTCTTTAAGCCGTTCTCACTCCTCGCCAAAACGTACAACGAGCCTAAGTATATGAAAGTATTGGTCAGCCGTTCACGGAAAGACTTGGGCCAGGCGTACGGAGCGGTTAAATGAGACGAAACGGCAGGATTTGGCATGTGCCCGTATAGGGCCCGTTCAAGGTACGTGAGCATAACTGAAGGCATTATGTAGATCATGGGCAGTTTCAGCGTGGCCGCTACGTTATCCATACATGACGTGGGCAGTGTTTCCGTGATTACCAGGTCAAAGTGAGAATTTTCGCCTTTGCTTAAGATTTCTCTCATGCGGTCGTCGTTGTAGACGACTTGACATATATTCCTCGTCGTGTTCAACTCAGCGGAAAAAGAACTTATTGGCGTGATGTACCAATTATTTATTTCTTGGAAATCCATATCAACATTAACAGAATATGTCGCGTTCGACAAGTGTACTTCGTTGTAATTCTGACGGTCGCCGTCCACGAAAAACGTGAAAACTGTCACGTTGTGTCCACGATCCGTCAAAGCTCGAAACATACCCTTCAGCACGTTACATTGACTAGTCCAGGGATCTGGTACCACTGCGAGTATTTGCGCGCCATCCGTCTCCAGGAAAATGTGCCACGCGTCTATAGCTAACACCAGAAAGGAGATCGATAATCTAGTTAAGACTACAGACATGGTACTGAAACTATTTTAACTTTATTGCTATCAGTTTATGTATAATTTTGCTGTAAGTTTTTACACAAGAACGAACCAAATTGAAGCTGAAGCCCTGTTTGTTTATTTAATTATTTAAGTCAAAATCACTATCTCGTCAGTACAAACACCTTATACCAAATTTCAATTAATGTCAATCGAACATAGTCAAGAACAACAAAAACTGAAATAACATTGCCAACATTCAGCACAGTATTCGATATTGTACTGTTCTATAAATTATAATATACTCAGTTGTTTATCTATACAACACATCTTTACAAGGTTAATTCTGTAGTATGCATCGTCCCCTCCATGTACATTCGTAATAATTCTAGACTCTATTAATACAACTGTTTAAGAACTGTGCGACCCATCATTAAGATTATTTATTATTATTTATAGTTTATACTGTAACAATAAATAATAGTTGTAGTTTTAATACCTCTGTACAAAAAATGTAACCAAATTTGTATCATTGAATCCGAATATAGCCTCATATTTTGTAGTGTAAGTTACATTTCTTTTTTTTCGCTTCTAAAGTGCTCAAATAGAGTTTAATTATATTGAGTATTTATTAGAAGAAAAAATGGTTTTATAACTCAATTAATATCAAACACTATTATTTTTTTAACTAAAAATTCGAAACCCAATAATAGTAATGTAATTTTAATATTTTCTATTAAAAGAAAATGAATCTGTTTATAAAAGTTAAATATTATTAAATATGTATTTGTATATTAAGCATATAATCTAAGTTTTTTGGTTAGCCAAAGTAAGGTCATTAATATTTAACTACCTATATCTATATTAAAAAATAGATAGTTAATGAATAGTGTCTGATACCATTTGCATAAGAGATGAACACCCATTATTTTACTTTTATGTGTTAATGCGCATTTTATTTAAAAAGATCTGATTGCCATTAAGTTACTTCAGTGTGAAGTAACTGACACTAAAAATATCTTGATAATAAAATAATTTTTTAAAAAACTGCTTCTTATCACGATATTTTAAAATTATCAAGGAAATCTATATTTAAATTAATATTGTAGTAGTTATTGATAATTTACTGATAAATCACACTCGAAACTAGCTGGGTTGACATAAGCTTTTATAAATTAAAAAAAAAATCGTTTAGTGTTTAAAATGATCTTGATATTTAACATGTGTAGTATGCATTAATCACATGAAATTAAATTACACTCACGTCTGGTACAGATTTAGGCGAAACCAGATGTATGCCACCGACTCCTATGATATTTGGGGGCAAAGGCCTAGATGGTTCGTTAATGAAATGGATATTGGCGAACGTGAGCGATTAGACAACCGGTTCCGTATTGTCAAAAGGTTGTGGATTCGTTTTTTTTTAAGTCGGCTTCACTCCTCGCTAGACCGTACATCCAGCTTATGTATAATAATGTGTTGGTAAGCCGATCACAAAAAGACTTGGGCCAGGCGTACCGAGCGGCTATATGAGACGAAACGGCAGGATTTGGCACGTGCCCGTGCAAGACCCGTTCAAGGTAAGTGGTGATAGCTGAAGGCATTATGTTCAGCGTGGCCGCTACGTAACCCACGCACAATGATCACACTGGTACCGTGATTATCAAGTCAAAGTTAGAATTTCCGCCTTTGCTTAAGATTTCTTTCATGCGGTCGTTGTTGTAGACGACTTTACACATGTTTCTAGTCTTGTACAACGTGATGGTTGTGGGCGTGGTGATCCAATGTGTTATTTTTTTGAAATCCAAACCGACGTCAACGGAACTTGCGATAGACAAGTCGATTTCGTGGTAATTTTTACGGTCTCCGTCAGCGAAATACGTGAATACCGTCACGTGATGTCCACGATCCGTCAAAGCTCGTAACACGCCTCTTAACAAATTCCAGCTGCTAGCGCCGGGTATTGGCGCCACTGCGAGTATTCGTGCGCCATCTGCTTCCAGAGAAGTGTGCCACGTGGCTACAGTCAACACCAAAAAGGTCATCGATAATCTAGTTGATACCACTGACATTGGTTTTGCAGCAGCTTCGAATATGCTTAATATGACAAACTATTGGCGTTTTGAAAGTATTACGTTAACAGTTTTATTTTGAACAAATCCGGGTTACCGTTATTAATTAAATTCAGTATTCGTTTTTGCTTCAGCTTACATAACGAAAACCTCAAAGAACAATAAAAGGACGAACGGACGTAGATAATAAAAACACTAACTATAACAATACTTCAGTCAGTTACACTTAAAATATTGTGGATTTTATAACATACTATACAATAATGATACTATAGTTTGTGTGATTTTGTTTTCTCTCTATAACAGTTATAACGAAAAATATAGTGAACATTTGGTGTTATCTGGGTACACCGATTGTCCGTACGTAATTAATTACAAACTTATGTAGATAATCAGTCATAATTAGAAAGGTGAGCAATTTATACGTTGATAATATAGTAAATCATGTAATTAGTTACTATATATTCATTATGATTCGCAGATGATCGTTGGACTGTCTATGTAGTGCTTGAAGTGTGATAATCCGGTAGAGGAACGTTGATATTAAGTTTATAATCCAGCGTTCCTTAGTGTTAGAATGAATAGCATTGAGGAAACACTCTTTAATTTACAAAAAATGGAAGGTGTCATCTATTTTCATCTTTCTTTCACAGTTTAATTACAGTAATTATTATACAATAGTTGTATTCATAATATCCCTGTGGTTAGAGGAGAAAGAATTCTACCAAGGTCCTCGCTCCTGTCGTAAAAGGCGACTAACGTGACGTAGAGCCCTCCGATAAGTGGCCTTCAGACAGGTCACTTCTTCTTGAGACACACCTTCTCCGGCCCGCGATTAGCACCTAGTGCTACTAGTCGGTCCACAGTCGTAGGGGATCCCCTTCGGGGCTAACCACTAAAGCCAAGGAACACCTAGTTGTATTCATAAATTATATTTAAATTTTTTATAAAGGTAATTTTCAAAATGTTTTGGCAATATTTTAAACATATATGTATTATTATAGTGATTAAAGGTCTTGGTAATTAAAAAAATATGAAATTTAATTATTTTATATGTCTTGTATAAAATAGTGACAGCTAATATAAGGGTCTTAGCTAAATGAGGCACCGACTGTATCAACTTGGACGATCTATTATAACATGACCAAAGGCCGGGCACCTATCTTTCATTGATTACAATTAACAAATCTTTCCTATACAACGAATTTTTTTTAAAATAAAAATTGTTATTACTCACGTCCGGTATTGGTTTGGATGAAGACAGATGTATGCCACCCACTTGTATGACGTTTGGGGGTAAATGCTTAGACGGTTCGGTAATGTAATGGGTGTTGGCAAACGTGAGCGATGATATGACCGGTTCGACGTTGTCGAATGGTTGTGGGTCAGTTTTTCTAGCGAGCGATTCGCTGTTCGAAAGAGCGTACAACGAATTCAAGTGCAACATAACGTTGTCGAGCCGTTGGCGAAAACACTTCGGCCAAGCGTGCCGAGCAATTATGTGAGACGAGACTGCGGGATTGGGCACGTGCCCGTAAAAGTCCCGTTCCAAGTGTGCACTCAAAGGCGATGGGACAACGTAGATCATGGGCCGCTTTAGAATGGCCGCTACGTAACTCACGCACGATGAGAACAAAATTTCGGTGACGATCAGGTCATAGTCTGAGTTTTCGCCTTTGCTCAATATTTCTTTCATGTGGTCGTTGTCGTAGACGATTTTGCAATAATGTCGCGTCTTGTTCATCATGATTGGCAAAATACTCGTGGACGCGAACCAGCTACTTAAGGATTGGAATGTCAAGCCGATACTCAAGAAATATTCGGCCGATATATCCACTTCCGTGTAGTCCTGACGATCGCCGTCCGGGAGTGGCGTGAACACCGTCACATGATGTCCGTTGTCCGTCAAAGCCTTAAGCACAGCTCTCATAAAGTTCCAGTGGCTTTTACCAGGCACTGGGGCCACTGCGAGTACTCGTGCACATTTTACTTCTGTCACAAAACGCCACACGATCACTACCGACACGCCCAAAACGATCAACCCCCTAATCGCGACCATAACTAACACGACCCTTAGTGTTTAGATAGTCATATACGTTTAACCGGTCAACGCACAACGTTTGTACCGAGTCTGACCAATCTTATGTAATTGATACAGCTATAACTAAAACGTTTTAAAGACAAACTCTAATACACACACTATTTGTTTTATAATTGTGATAATCCCCCCTCCCACAGGCTTTAATAGTGTATCAAATCAGTTGACTAAGCGGGAATCTCTATAAAAGCCACTTAAGCGATAGCAAATAGTTAATATTATTTACCACATGTACTTGTTGCATTTCACAGGTGGTGTACACAAACGTTCTAATAGGAGGGATTAGTAACAAATTATTATAACTGAAATTGATAAAATCACTTTCAAATAAATGTTTTGATGCGTATTTGTTGGTAAGCAGCCATTATCAATAATGTCCTTAAAATTGTATTTTTAGTATTACTGTGGATACGATTAGGGTTGGTCGTTTGTCGATAATAATTTGCGTTACCGTATTTAGTATAATGAAATAATTTTTCAGAAACTTGTGACTGTCCATTGAGTTGATTCATAGTACGACCAAAGTGTAATTTTCACCTCATTTTGGTGTTTTAATATAAAAAAATGTTGACTACAGATTATTAAGACAATTTTTATAGTCCCACACTAGATCTATCTTCTGTCTAATTTTCAAGTCTTAACTCTTAAAAGTTTGCTGGAAAAAGAGAAATTAAGGGAATTTTTCTACCTAGGGAAAAGGTTTTTAAAATATGTTTTCAAAATAAATCTATTAAAATTTATCTGAGGAATATTTCATAAAATATTGAAATTAATTTTACTATTTTTAAAAAAGTTATAGCGCGCCGTAATTTCAAGTTGAAAAATATATAAATTGTTTGTAAGTTTTCTCTATTTTAAAGGAAAAGGGTACCAGATATGATTTATAATCTGTAGAGTTATTACATAAAGGTATCGATTCAGGGCTTTAGAAGATATCGTGCGTAGAGACAAAAAAAAAATTAAAACACATCAGTAAAAACTATAATATCTTAGCTAAGCATCGTAGTTAAAGAAATCCTCATAAAACAATTTTATCATATTTTATAATAGAAGGGGAAAATGTGTAAATTAATTATTTGTCAACTATATACATGTTTAACCTAGTTTGTCTTTTGTAAATATAATATACAGTCAAAAGTAACATATTGATTACTCCGTGTGAAAAATCATCGACTTATGAGCTTTTGATTTTTTAGGAATTTGAAAGTAATTTTGTAATTACGA